ATGAGGACAATAGTCAGAATAATGCAAATAATATATATATAAATTCGCTAGAGGAGAAAATCCAGATAGAACTCAATGTCCAGGACAGAGTAAAAATATAATATAAAAGGCTCAAACACTAATATTCCATGGTCATATAAAAGGCTCAAACACTAATATTCCATGGTCATAATTTATAAACTATAATCATGAAATATTAGCCTTTTATATTATATATATATATATATATATATATATATATATATATATATATATATATATATATATATGGGATAATGGATATATAAATTTTTAACAAACAGTAAGAAGTAAGTTTTAAATTTTTAACAACAGTAAGAAAATGTGTGTGACAAAGTGGAAAAAGTTTTTGTTTGACGCGTATGACGCTCCCTTATGCCTTTATCGGAGTAGAGGATTTGTTTACGTTGAGGCTATGACACATGAGCACATACGAGAGACGCTGGGAATTTTACATTTAGAAAAAAGACATTTTATGTTTTGAGTATATAATCTAGTTAATTTCATTTAGATTATTTTTCTTATTGTTTTCATCATCTTTAATATTAAATATTCCACAATAATAATAGATCTGTGAAGAATGGGGAAACGTTGTAAGAACCTGGACGCAAATTTACTCTTGATGAAATAGCAATGAAAGCACTTTGTAAACATTTTCGTCTTAGTGAATTCTGAATTGTTTTCTCTTTAGAGTAGCATTTTTTTTATGTCAAAATTGTTGTCAGTCTCGTTACAGTGTGCAACTAATGCGTTTAATGTAGTTTTTTTACTACCACTTTCGTGTCCGTATAAACTTTTATTTAAACTTCTTGAGGTTTCTCCAGTATATTCTTTCTGGCAATCCTTACAGGTGATAGAGTAAATTTCTCCTTCAAGTTTTGACTTGTTGCTTTGTTTTGTATTAAGTCTTTTATTGTTTTAGATGTAGCTGTAAGAAATTTTACGTTTTGGAGGTTGTTTATTTTAAATATATCTTTTCTGTCCATATAATCTTTTATTTAAACTTCTTGAGGTTTCTCCAATATATTCTTTTTGGCAATCCTTACAAGTGATAGTTAAATTTCTTCTTCTAGTTTTGGCTTATTGTTTTATTTACTAGATCAATTACGACGGAATAATGATTTTCATCCTTACTGTGTGCTCCATACTTTCCGCGTTGTGACACATCTAAGCTAAGCTTAGAAAATCACCATATGTATACAAATGGTAGTTGACCCGTCTCCTTTTGAGACAAACTTGTTTCTTTATAACTATGATATAACTATGAGGCCAGATACATAGATGTCCTCAACGCAACAGACACAAGGCCAAAGCAAGATATTCCATGTTGCAAAATGGTTTATAGATAATTTGTTCGCTATCAATAAGGATGACATTGTCAGCCAACCCTTAAAAGATATAGCCCACACTGAACATGAACTGAAACTCTGACAAAACACTTGTTCCTTTGTATCCGTTTAGTAATTAAAGTAATATTGTTAACATATAACACCTATTTCGATTTCTTCACTTTCCCGAAATGACCCCAATCTACGGGTTGGGGGGCTGAAAAGTTCAAAGACTGACTATGAAGGAATGATTCTAGAGCTGTGATATCTAGTATGCATTGATTTCAACTTTTCTTATTAACAACTGCATAGTTTATTTCCAGGTAAACTAACATCTTACTGTTCAGATAAGACTGTTCATCATGTTGGTAAAAATATTCATCAACAGCAAATATAACCTCATCATAGGTACGATACTGGTTCCCAGTTCAGTGCTTTTTTATGCTGGGGAACAGATGATGGTCAAATCAGAAGAATAGCAAGAGTAATCAACCAGTTCAAAGCCATAGTCACGCACAGCAGACATTGAAACCAAGGACTCGCGCACTTGAGCGTTGTCCTGCTGAAACAAGATCCCTTTTGTCAGTTTTCATGGTCTTGCTATTCTTCTGTAACTTCCTCAGCAATTTGGCATAGCTCTCTCCATTGATGATGTGGCTCTTCTGAAGATAGTCAATAACCACAATGCCTTTTGCATCCCAAAGAACCGAGACCATGACTTTCCCTGTAGATAAAACTACCTTAGCCTTGTTACTTTTGAAGTTTCTTTGAAGAGTAAGATAAAAAAAATAATGCAATTATTAATAAGTGTTTGAATTGATGAATGCAAGCATCATTCCTACATAGTCAGCCAATAAGTTTTTCATCCCATCGTCGTATTATCTGCAACTTATTCCAAGGTGGATAGCGTAATATACTTCTTGATCATTCAAGTCAAACACGTCGTAAAATGAAAATATAGTGAAGACAAAGCAACAATTCTTGTCAGGCCGAGACGAGATGAGTACAATAAAGATAATTTCGAGGAACGTATAAATAACACCTCATGGGAAATTGTGTCCTGTTGGCGTTGAGAGAAACAAAGGAACGACTTGATTTGAAGCCGCACTATTTTGAGGAATGTGGTCGACATTATACATGTACTCTGCATTGCAAAGAAATCTGTATTGAATTGTTTAAACGAGGGAAAGTATGAGCGCGAAAATGTTCCTGATAATAAACCGAATGATTGATTAGTTGTTCGATTTATGCTCGTATCTTTAGTTTACAGAATATTAATGTCTCCGAAGAAAACTGCAGACAGCTTGATATTTCATTAGTTTCTTTTGTTTGGTTAAATGCGAATGTTTTATTGAAGGATCTCAACAAATATTCTGAGCGGTTTTCTCTTGGCGGGCACGACGTTCTTTTTCTTCGTTTGCCATTTTCCATTTGATTTTTCTTTTTGTTGATCTCTTCTTTTTTCTCCTTCCACCTACTTTTTACTCCTTCCACCTACTTTTTACTCCCTGTCTTTCTTTTTACCCCTCCTCTTCTTTTTTACTCTTCCTCCTCCTTTTTACACCCCCTCATTCATTTTACTCCTTATCCTCCTCTTCCTTTTTACTCCTCCTCTTCCTTTTTACTCCTCCTCTTCCTTTTTACTCCTCCTCTTCCTTTTTACTCCTCCTCTTTCTTTTTACTCCCCCTCCGTCTTTTGCCTTTTTGCCACTTTTCTTCCTCGTTTTCTCTTTCTATTTTTTCTTCCTCTTTTCTCTCTTTATCGCTTCATTCGATTTCCATCTCATTTTATTTTTATCATACGTATTTTTCTAATTTTTCTTGTTTTACTCTTCTTCCTCTTCCTCCTTCTCTTTTTCTTTCTGTTTCTCCCTTTTTCATATTCTCCGTATTTTCTTTCACTTCTTTCTTTGAACTATTCATCTTCTTTCCTTCATCTCTCTCTTATTTTCATCCTCTTTTTTTCTTCTTTCCTCTCTCCTCACTCTTTCCTTTTCTTCTTTCCCCTTCTTTTATGCCCACTTTACTCTTCTTTTTCCATATGCTTTTTTTCTCCACTTCCCATTTTCCTACTCCTCCATTTTTCTCGTCTTTTATTTCCCCTTTTTGCGAATTCATTTTCTTTTCGTTCTTTTGTGTCATTTTCCTCTTTCTTAATTCCCCATCCATCCCACTCCTCCTCTCTTTCATCCCCTTCTCTCTTTTTCGCTCCCCACTCCCCCTGTTTATTTCTCTTGCTTACGCTTTACTTTTCCTTCTTTTTTTTCTCAATATTATTTATCTTTCTTCTTTTTCTTCTCCTCCCCCTTCATAACTCCTTTTTCTTCCTCCTTCTTAGTTTCTTTTTCTGTTTCACCCTCCTTCACTATCTTTATCTTCACTATTCATGTAAATTACGTTTTCTTTCTTTTCCTTCTCCTCTTTCTCTTCCCTCTATTACTTTTTTAATCTTTTTTTTTTTTTTCATTTTCTTTATCTTTTCCTCCAGTTTGTTTGTATCTCTTCTATGCCGGAAGTTTACATTTTCTAATTAAATTCATCACAAAGCGATGAAAAGGAAACTCATTTGTTTGGAATCTTTTTTGTTGATCATTCAAAAACGATTGTTAATTCCAGTTTTATTTTTTTTGTTTTTGTTTTTTAGAATTTTAAAAACAAATATTTATTTCCTACTATGAATGGAATCTGCAACGAGTCCTCTTCTCAAATGCTGTTACGAGGAGATTACAAAGATTACCTTTTATCTTCAACTTGAAAAATCTGCTTCAAAGATTATATACAAATCTGAAGCCACACAGAAAATGTGATAAGTTTCAAAGCAGCGTCACTTCGTATAATAAACATAATATTAAAAAAAAAAAAAAGAACAGAATTTCTTTCTTGCCACAAGATTCTAATCTCAACCTGACATTCATCGTAATTCTTTCGTGTTGCATTCATTCGTTCTATGTTTGCTGTCACCTTAGCAACGTTGTTTCAACCCAACATGGTCAATATATTTGTGCTTTCTCACATTCTGTCCAAAGAATGTCATTAATCGACGCTCTAAAAATATTCAATCTTTCGAAGCGGAAAAAAGAATTGCAATTCTTGCTGATAAATGATCCCTTGAAAAATTTCTCTCTCTTTTATTTTCGCTGATATCTTGTGTTGGCACCTTCATGTTGCCGTTGCTCTTTTGGAGATTTTATTTCGTTTGGGGAAGATTTTTGATACAAATTTTTAATAAGCTTACCTAAATAAAAAAAAATGTAATAAAGCAATCAACGTAAATCGAACTATGTTGGCCATATCACTTTTGTAACCACTGACGATACAAACAATTAACGAATTAAAAACTCTTAACATTAAGAATTGATCTGGGAAACGAGAAGACAATTAATTCGTTTGTTTTTTACGACTTATCAACCTTCTATAGAATATTTAAAGCCAGAAAATATTTTTTTAGATTTTAAGGAATTTTGGAGATAATAATTATTTACTGATACAAGTCCTACTATTTAACCCATAGCTAGAGGGATAAAAAGTTGATTCATACTGTTCCCAAAACTATTGACGCGTAAGTAAATATTACGAACACGACTGGAATTGGAACTCGGCTCTCCGATTGATAATTCTGAAAATTTATCAATTACACCACCCTCACATCCAAGATTACAGAGCCAGCTATTCACAAGCGGTCCCCCATCTAGGTACTAACCAGGCTCGACGTTGCTTAACTTCGGGAACCGGTGTTTCAACGTGATATGACCATTTGGTTGTGAAAAAATCTATAAAAATATGAGAAAGTAATTTGAAATTTGTGTCGTATTCATCAATACTTGCCACTGTGATCATATTTTTTTATCGATATCACCACATACAAGGCAGTAAAGCCACTAAGACGGAAAAGGTTATATGGTGTGGAAGAATTAGGAACGGAAACATTAATAATGAACGGGAAGAGGAAAGAGTAATCAGGAGGAGATTAGATAGCAATTGACATGGCATTTAAATTTTTGGAGATTAAAATTGGCTGGGAGACACATTTTCTTTCTTTAAGACTTTCAAATTCTAGGCTAGTAGACATTTATTTAACAAAATTTAAAACGAGCTGGGATGTCTACTCGAACACGTGACAGTCCTGGGTATGACGATACACTACATCAAGGCCTCTGATTGGGAGATTAGAGGTTTTGAGGATCGTGAAACCACATTTCAATGGCTGTTGTTCCCAGATTCACCCTGACCTGGGGTGGTAGCACATACTACGGTTGCAGCTATGGGCAAATAGTGAACGTCACTCAAACAAAAAGAAAATACTATGAAAATATGAAAATACATTTTTATAGTAAAAATACCAGCAATACATTTTTATATAAAAACATTATTAGCAATACATTTTTATATCATATATATACATAACCGTCATATATTTGTCAGGCTATATACAATATAATAAAAGTTACTTGACCCATAGAAGTTTCTTCCTTAACATTATTAAGCACATTGACACTAACATTAAGCACAATAAGAAATTAAACACATTAACGAATAAAATAGAACAATTCTAAAAATATACGGTAATAAAAGTCATTGTGACGAATAGAAGATTCCTTCTTACCATAGATTTTATTAGACACAATAAGAGACTAATAACAATAACTAATAATAAAAGAGAACAATTCCAACAATATACAAAATTAATTGTGACGGATAGAAGATTCGTTCTTATAGTAGATCTTATTAAGCACAACAAGAAATTAACAACAATAACTAAAATAAAATAGAACAATGTAACAATAGACTGTGATATGACAAGATTTATTCGAATGTTACAATATAGGTATAAAAATTGTCTCTTCAATTTAAAGTCAATAAATTTCACTTTTTCTCGTAATGGAAGCACTTCATGATTTCTCTTTCCTTTATCAGACTTTTAACCTCCTTCAATAATGTTATGCATAGGAAACATTAGTAAAACTTTCTCATTGGCTTCAGTTAAAAAAAAAAAAAAACTAAAGATGCGACATTGCATTATATATATATATATATATATATATATATATATATATATATATATATATATATATATATATATATATATGGGGTGTACAGGCCGTATGCATTCATATACTGCCCAGATTACATGGCCCCTGTTTCAACCGATATGATCCAAATGAATACAAGGCATTACATTTGGAGCCGGCTTGGCTACAGGAGTTATCGGAAAGTTGTCAGTGTCTACTCTGGATTTACTTTCTGGATTTACTTCCATAGCCTTTCCTGTTTTGGGGTATGACTGCAAAGGCAGTGGAGGATTAACATCGGGATTTTCATTCCCCTAGATAGAATGCCTACCTGGCCTGTCTATTCAACTATTAAAAAAATAATAAATTAGAACAATTATAACAATATACTGTAATAAAGGTTATGTGGCGATAAAAGATTCTTTCTTACTTTAGATCTTTTTCGACACTATAAGAGGTTAACAAGAATTACTAATAATAAGATAGAATAATTCTAACAATATCCTGTAATAAAGTTACCTGACAGATAGAAACACGTTCCTACCGGATGCAATATCAGTATATCATATTTTTCTTCCCTTATAAAGTTGTGACATTTTACCATTTCGCTTAAAGGAAGCACTTTACAACTTTTCTTTGGAATTTCTGAATTGCCAAGATTGCTATTCTTCCACTTAAGGGTCATTGGATTTACTGCCAAGCAATTGCTGTTGGGAAAACTAAATGTAACGATATAAATCTATATATTTACCTCTGCATAAATATATTATATCTATGTATATATGTATAATATATATGTGTGTGTGTGTGCGTGTATCTATGAATAAATGTATATATCTCTGACTGAAGGTATGAAGGAGATTTCTCGTCTCAATGATGATGAAAGGATTCAGAATTATTTTGGTTTTTGGCAATTTGCTTTGATTTTGGAGGTCAAACCGAGAACTTCTCTGCATCAACACATTGGCAGATGTATATTATGAGACAAGTCGTAGATCCATGTACACTGCTTCAGTTAAAAAGATATAAGATATATAGATGTAACAGTTTGACATATATATATATATGTACATACACATATCAAGCATATCAAGGATATAAGAATGTATTGTAAAGCAGATTGCACTTCTTTCGTAGTTTAATTTAAGTTCAAGAGTATTTCGTAGTTTATTGTATTTAAACGACTTCAAACTTGTAAATAGTTTTAAATCAATGTTAAGGAATATTATGGTGTTTTATGTATTTTTTTTTCTATTATTTTATCTTATTTTATTTTTTTGTGTGTGTGTGTGTGTACAGTAAAAAAATATACGTCATGTTTATGGAAAATTATTTTCATTTTGCGAATACATCCATTTAAAGTTAACTGACATGTAATAATGTTAAGAATTAGGCAAAACGATAAAAGGTGATAGTAGGGTTGAGTTTAAGTTCCCCCCCCCTCAAAAAAAAGCACAGTTAAAATAAAAACGGCAAATATTTATAGTAAGACACTATACAATACTTAAAGAAAAAGGGTTAAACTTAGGTTATCCATTGAAACTGCTATCCACCGAAAAAGAAAAGGAAGAAAAGAAGCCTGTCCCCACCGTGGACCATTTAAAAGATAGTTCTCGCAGCGGATTGGTTGTTACAAACATCCAATCGGGTGCGCGAGGTCTTTCTTCGTCGAATTCATTAAAAGGCCAGAGTAGCTGTTAGCGTTTGACTGAGAGGGGGGATCAGGGATTGATCTCCCCTGATTGGGTCGATTTGGTGATGGGGAGTATGATGTTGAAAGACCCGAAACTCCCTGTTGAACCAAGTCAAATAACAACACTGATGACCCCCTCGGGCGCCTATTTAAGAGCGTATTTTTTGTATATATATATATATATATATATATATATATATATATATATATATATATCAATAAAACATCAAAAACCGAAAAGATTAATTAATACAAAATGAAAATGAAAACAAGTAAAATAAATTAACCCAAACAAATAAATAAACAAACAAGCCCATCCGGCAAAAATAACGGCCAGAATAGATTACCCACAATGCACCACTGACCCATATATACAAATAGTCAAGGAAAAATCTAACATTCGCGGCCTGACGATTAGGTCTAGCATGAAACAGCCTGTCGCCTCTGAGTGTTGACTTCAATCTTCACTTTTTTATATATATATATATATATATATATATATATATATATATATATATATATATATATATATAGGATATATAGGATTGTGTATACGGAATAAAATCCAATAACCAAATATACTAGTCTTAAAAAGAGTGCTCAATATAGAGTAGAGCAAATATAATTTATTCGAAAGTTTTACTAATGTTTCCTATGCATAAAATCATTAAAGGATGGTGAATCAGGAAAAAGAAAGTTTGTTTATAATAATTGATGCTTTAATATGAGGCTTAGACTAAAATAGATATCATTTTAATTAATATTAAATTTTATTATAAAATTTACAAATTAAAAATTACCAATTTTAAATTTAATCTATATTAATTTTAAAATATAAAATTATTTAAAGAAGAAAATGAGGAAAAATATATTATTTTATTATTTATTTAATTGAAAAGCCAAAATCTCAGAATAAACGTTAATCTAATCCAAGGTTCGTTGTCAAGTTTTTTGAATTTTCATATACTTGTATTTTGATTGGTCATTATAGCTTATGTAACAGCGTTTCCTCTATCGAAGCATTGTTTGGTTTTAGTTGAACCTTTTAATACGCTTTATATAGGTTACGATGGTTAAATTGTCGCCATTTTTTTTTCATTTTGAGCCTACGCTTTTTTTTGTGTGTGATTTTGTCGACTACACAGTATAGTAGAGTCAGTTGGGCACCATCGATGAGAAAAAGAGCACTATGAGTTAGTTCACTGTGCCAGAAATTTGGAAACGGCATGCTTTAATGCTTGGCATTCGCGCCGAAAGTTTGGGTGTCAATCTGAAGCAGAGGATTCAGAAATGATATATCCAGTCAACATGAATGTGTTTGAAGTGATCACTAGTGATGGTCACGTTATGTCTCCATTCATCTTCCCAGAGAGCCTCAGACTCAACACGAAGGCCTACATTGGAGATTTATTGAATATATTTATTCTTTACTATTTTAAGTAATGTTTGTGTAATTTTGGAAAATATGTCTGTTAAAATAACATGTCAGTGTTATTTTCATTTCTGTGTAATTTAGAAGACAATTTATCCATCGCACCCTGTATACATACATATATATGTGGGTGTGTGTGTGTGTGTGTGTGTGTGTGTGTGTGTGTGTGTGTGTGTGTGTGTGTGTGAAGAAATATACTCTTAAGGTGTGCTATATTTATGGGATAAAGTGCTCAATATCAGAGATAAAGCGTGTGTAAATATAAAAGTGAACATTTAGAGGCGACAGGCTGTTTCATGCTAGACGCAATCGTCAGGCATGAAACAGACTATCTAACATGAAACAGACTGTCGCCTCTAAGTGATGACTTCAATGTTCACTTATATATATATATATATATATATATATATATATATAAGGAGACATTAAAGTCAACACCCACAAGCGACAGTCTGTTTCATGCGTGGACTTCAACGTCCATTTTTAAATTTACATATGATCTATCCCTGGTACTGAGCACTTTAACCCATAAAAATAGCATACCATAAAACTATATTTCATCGTATATATATATATATATGTGTGTGTGTGTGTGTGAGAGAGAGAGAGAGAGAGAGAG